ATAGCAGACAGTAGAATGGTGGTGATGAGGAAAGGTCTCATGGCTTCCTTAGCAGGGCAGAGCAGGTTATGAAGGTGGACACTGAGATGTTTTGTTGTCCCTTCTCGTCTGATGTATCTTTTTTGAAGCACATGTCTCCCAGCCTACTGACCTTATTTCTGTTTTACCTGAAGGAGTCCCTGAGTGGAATCCAGCTCAGAGCAGAGGAAGATAGTGTTTGTTCATGGTGATAAAGATTATGAGTAGCTCCAAAAGTGATCTTAAGAGGGTAGATACAACAGCTGAAGAAGTCATAAAAAAATAAGGTAGAAATACAGACTGTTCCGGGTTATATAAGATCCATGAATAAAATGGTTCACTGAATGACCTCTCAGGATTCTTGCAGGATCTTTGACTTAGGCACATTGCCTGGCCTCAGCTGCTATCTGAAACTGTGTAGCATGACTCAGTGACCCACCAATGTAGCATCTTTCAACTCCCCAAAAAACAAAAAAACCTATAGTGATGACATTGCCAAGTTCTGTTGACAGTTTGAGATGTGGCCACCTTGGACCACAGCTGTATGATGTGCTGACCATGAGAAAAACTTCCTTGCATTTGCATTTGTGGAACAGGGAACACTATCACTTCAGGCTTTCTGCCTTTAAATGAATGTGGATCTTCACAAGATGAGTCTGTGAAGAGTGAGATTGTCCCTCGGGCCCCCTTTCCTGCTGTCACCTGCTGCAGCCTTCCCTTCAGTGACGCTGCTCTCTCACAGTTACAGCGGGTTGTGTAGAGTCATTCTGGATGTTTTCTGTTCTGAAACTCCTCCTGCCAAATTAGTCCCTTATGTTTAAACTCATCTTCACTCATATTCAGCGCATTAACACAATAAATCTAGACTATTGACAAAACTGTTGGATGAATGGATCCTTTCACAGTTCCCAATGGAGACCTTGCTGCTCTCTGCAACCTCATGACTGGCCTCCACTGCCTCTCTCAGCTTTCTTGTCTTCCTGCTTCCACCCAAATGTCCCCGTAAGCTCTGCTCTCAGCATGGAAGTGCTTTCCTAGTCCTGAGTACAAAACTCTTCACATTCCAGCCACAAACAGATCCAAAGCTGAAGAACCACATGATTTGGTTTATTACAACAAAAACCTGAATCCTGGTATCAATTTTCTGTCCAGGTTTACTTTACGTATAGCTCAAACAAAACACTTGACCAAAGAAACTTGGAAAAGAAGGATTTGCTTTGCCTCAGAGTTAAAGGAATAGTTACTCATGACATACAAGTCTGAGAACATAGAGCTTGTGTCACCTGGTAACCTATGTCAACAAAGTGAGCAGAATGCTTGTGCTCATGTGACCTTCTCCACTTTACACATTCCTGGGTCCTAGTCTATACAATGGTGCTACATACAGTGGATAGGTCTTCTCTACTCAATTGATCCAATCAAGACAATCTCCTCCCATCATCCCCTGAGGGCTGTATCCAAGTTGAATCTAGATTTCATCAAGTTCACATTTGACATTAACTATTCCAGAGATCCATCCAGCTTGTTCAGTGAACAAAGGTACCCTGGGTCTCTTTCATAATGTCAAAATTCTATTCTGCCAAGTGATCAGATTAACAGTGTATGTTATCATGGCCTGACTTTAGTGTTAATGGCTTGCTATTTCCTCTGATCTCCAGGCAAACTTTATTTATTAACATGCAAATAAAATATCACCGTCTTTCAGCATAAATAAAATATCACCACAGTCCTCTTTCATAACAGCAAAACTCTATTCTGCAACTAACAATTTAGAGAAAACTGCCAAACCCAAAACACAGAAGCTGGTGATGGCAGCCTCTCTAAGAACCTCCTGGTTGTGAAGTTTCTGACAGTAGCCTCTTTGGCTGTATTCTTTATAGCATCTTGGACGAGACCATGAAGAGCCTCCACTCCACTGTAAATGCTCCCCCATCAGCTAGACAAGGACCGAGGTTAAACTGCCTCCAGTGAGGGTCAGTCTACATGAGTCACCACTGGCAACAACTCACACTTACCCTCCCTGGCATGGTGATTGATAATGAGGAAACAGTTGATAGTTCTGCTGTGCTGTCATTGGACATTAATTAATAAAACTTAAATTTTGATCATAATTTTCCTCATGAACATCAAAAAATAAATACAAACTAAATGGAAATCATAACCAAAGCAACTTATAGAAGAAAGATTTTATAGGGACTCACAATTTCAGAGGCTGTGTCTGTGACAGGGAGCATGGCAGGGAGCATGGTAGAAAGCAGGCAAATTGGCACTGGAGCAGTAGCTGAGAGCCTGTGCACAAGGAGGAGGGAGAGAAAGAAAACTGACAAAGGCAAGAGATTTTGAAACCTCAAAGACCACCAGTGATAAAGCTCCTCCAACCAGGCCACACCTTCTACTCCATCTCAAATAGTTCCACCAAATACAGGGGCCCATTCTCATTCAAACCACAACAATCTTCTAAATCATAGAGTGCTATTTTTCCAGCCTAGCATAGATCAATAGGAACATTAATTTTACATCTCTTGAATCTGTTCTTTTACAGAGGGACAGGTAGACATCTCCTGGTTCCATGTGGCCCACTTTCAAGAACATGGGATGGTCCTAGAAACCCCAACCAGGATAGAACAGCATTATGCAGTGCTGGAAAACCCAAACTTCTCCCCAATGGGAGTTCTAATGAGAATGATTCCTGCTTTTGGACACTTCATCCCCATCACTTCCATCACATTGATCTACTATTACCTCAATCTCAAGGATGTGACATTTCACCTTTACCTGGTCCCTAATGACTGCACCATTCGGAAGGTAACACTGAGGACCACAAAAGTGAGTCCAGCGTGGGCTGAGAGAAAACTTGAGATGCAGCTAGTGAGCTCCTTGGAGAGATTCTTACTGGTAGTGGGGATACAGTTCTATAAAGGGAACCCGTGTGTGTGTGTGTGTGTGTGTGTGTGTGTGTGTGTGTGTGTGTGATTCTTCCCTCTTCTTGGCCCCCCTCACATTATCATTTCCCCCAAATGGCTTTGATGCCCATTTACTAATTCCTGCACAGCTTTCTATAGCCTCTTTCCACCCATCAGAAGGATGGGAATTCTCCATGCACAATCTGTAGCCAACACCCTTCTTCTGTGGCAGCATCCCTGTTCCCACAATGAATGTGACAGTGGCCAATAAGTCAATAATCTGTGTTGCAGAATACCAGATATAAGAGTGTCTAGGGTGTGTCACCACCCCACCCCACAAAAAAATCTACTAAATGATCATCTCACCTTATTCAGAACAGATTTGTGGGCCAGAAATCTAGATAAATCACTGTCTGCAATGTTCCCTAGGCCATTGATGATGAAGAAATGAAATTCCAATATGTTCGAATAAACAAGCCACCTCCAGTAGACTCTCTTTATATTGGTTCCCGCTACATTGTGTCTGGTTCTGAGAAGCTGGAAATCATCCCAATGGTGAGCATCCAGGTGTTTGCTACTATTCAAGTTCGGATGGCAGGCTTAGGAAACCTGTGGGGCAGGTTACAAGGCTTTAACAGCAAACTGAGATTCAGGAGAAAACAATTGGGATATGGGATGAGCAAGAATACATCCAAGTTAGGCAGAAAGCAATTTAAGGGACCGAACAGGAATACAGAAAGCCTGGAGAATTGAGAAATTAGATTCAATATGGCAGAAAGAAGGGCCCAGCATAACATGGAATAGAGAGCAAGCCCTGGCTTAGGCTGTGTGAACAGGACTTTCAGGATGAGCTCTCACTCATCCTTAGGTGTTAGTGTTTGAATCTGAAAGGTCTCCTGCAGGTATAAATGTTTAAATACTTGCTCCCCAGACAGTGGTAGTATTTTGAGAGTTTGTGGAAACAAATATGTGAGGCCTGGCCATTAGAAACCGATCAATAGTGTTAGGCAGTCAAGGTTGTAGCCATGCCCTGCTCCAACCTCATGGTATTATTTGCTCATCCCCTGGGATATTATGAGCCCTGCCATAATCTCCTGCCACCAAGAGTGGAGCTCCAGCTTACATGCATTTCCCACCATGAAACTAAACAAGATAAACCCTTCCTCAAGTTGCTTCCTGTGAGGTTTTTGTCAAAGTGATGAGAAAAGAAACAGCAAGATGGGGTCCTAGCTGGGTCCTTAACCTTCTGAATGTGTGTTCAAAGGCTGTGGGTTACCTCAGTACAAAGACAGCCAGTGTCTGATGTGGTGTGCAAGATCAAGAAAGTATGGGGGTGGGGACAGCTCTCCTTCACAGGACGAGTAGTTCATTCTCACACAGTAATTCTTTCTCTCTTCAGGAACTAGAGCTGTGCTACCGGAGCCCTGGAGAATCCCAGCTCTTCTCTGAGATCTATGCTGGCCACATGGCTTCAGGGATTAAGCTGCAAATCAGAGACAAGAAGCATATGAATCTCATATGGGAAGCCTTGTTGAAACCAGGTAAAATTAGTTTAAGTCCAGATACTCCAAAGGTTGAAGAAAGGCAATGAGTGGTGAAAGGTATATTGTCATTAATTCCTGGTGTCATGAAATAGTGAGATTAGTTATGTGTCTTTTGCTAGATCCAAAACAGGTGATCTGACCACAGTTTAAACTATGAC